AAGTTCTCAATAAACTGTTCATATGACTTTGGAAGTGGAAGAAGAACCAAATCAATGGCTTGCTTCCTTGGGAAAACGACACCCATTCTATCCAACTTTTCAATGTACGTTTCCTTTTTAGAAGATGCGTACACACAAAGTTTTGATCTTGATGTTTATATGCCAATAGGGATTAGGTAGTCTCGTATCTTTCAACTTGAATAAAACGTGACCTTGGGAGAGTCACAGGAGAAGGAGATAATATCTAGTTCCATCATTTCCTAAGGAATGGAAAACAATTTTACCTTGACTTGAAATCGGAAGACCATCTCTAGAAGATTAATGAAAACTATTTCCTTAAGAATGAGGAAGACCGTTTCAATCTTCATAAGATATTTCAAAATAGGAGAAAAGGAGAATTCAAGTTAGTTGATTTTAATCTTTAATTATTAACCCATAAATTTAAATTAAGGCTAGGATCCATATTTTCGATTCGAACTTTGAAGAGGGATGTCGTAATCAAATTCGAATCTACTTTAGGTACGTAAGGCTTTTACCAATTTCAATCTTATGAAACTCCTAGATCTTTTGAGATTCATTGATTCTTATCAATGACATGTTTAATCTCGGATTATGCTCTCACTTTTGTGACTGGGATGTCGAGGATCACAAACGAGATGTGAATAACCATGCAAACCCGTTTGACAACCTTGATGCCATTTACCATCTCACATTGATGTGTCAGTTAACCACATACGCTCCATCAACAATGATAATTCTCGAGAGGCCTATCATATCTCTTTATAGTCCTTATTAGTGTGTCGGTTAACCACACACGCTCCACTAACGACATATAAAGCATGATGTGTGTTTTCATGGATTAGCATACTTTTCACATTTTTCCTACAGTAACTATAGTGGGATTTTAAAATAGTTTAGTTACTTTATATCATTATACTTGAGATTATGTCCTATCAAATCCGTTCGGCTAACGACCCTCCACCACACAGGAGAGTGGTGGGTGAGAGTGGACACCTATTCAACGGCCATTTTATAGGCCGCTTCCTTATACCCTCTTTATATCATGGTTTCGTGAATGAGGCGTACTAGCGATTTGAGTGACTTTTCTTATACATATAATATATTAAACTATTAATAGTGTGTGTGCGTGTGTGTGTGTGTCTATATATATATATATATATATATATATATATATATATATATATATATATATATATATATATATATAAGGTGTATTTTAAAGCTTTTCTAAAATACTAGGTTTGAGGGCAACTCAAAATGACTTTGCTAATAATTCAAGATTATACTAATTTAGTTGTTGGGTTAGACACCTAATCCAATAGAATATAGACTATCATTAGTCACCAGGGTCATTAGACTAAGACTCGGTATAAATCATATTTATGTCACGTCAAGGGAAAAACTAAGTTGTTAGGCGGAGCTCTGCTCAAATCACCAGTCATCCACCTATGTCAGGTGAGTGCATAGTCCGTTTCATGAACATGATTTTAATATAAATATTAATTAAAATACTAAATATTTGTTAGAAAGTTTATATGTTGGCTATATGTTTATTTCCTGAAAGATGTGTTAGAAATGTAGTTGAGGATATACGTTATGCGAACCATATATAGTTCATGATGTGTTAAAAGATGTATCTATTGTTGTGCGATAATAATAGAAGTATTATTAAGAAAAAGATAAATGTATATTGTGCTATATATATAGACCGAGATAGGAAATTGTTGTCTAAACATAGTTGGTATTGGGAGCTTAGTAGTTCTGTATGTTAATGAGATATGACTTATTATAGATACCTAGTTCAATTAATTTTGATATCAGGTGGTATCATTCGGGATATGCGTGTATAAGTTAGGAACGAAGAGTAGAGTTCTGTTCCTTGACACTTTTAGGTGTTGATGGTACGAAAATACGTACCGGAGTACAAATCGTATTCCTTTTTGGATAACTAGAAATTGTGGGTCCAGATCAGGCAATTGTAATGGTATGTCTGGTCATCTCCCAGAGTAGATGACAACACTTATACTTCTAGACAGTCTTGTGAATTATGTTGCTAGTGTGGGTTCATAACCCACGGGTGTAGATGAAATGTAGGGATGTCAACGGGGGCAAACGGGATGGGGAGTACATTCCCCGCCCCCACCCACGAAATTTCCATGTTCTCCCGTCCCCGCCCCCGCCCCCGAAATATAAAACCTTCCTACCCCCGTCCCCGCCCCGAATACCCCTTATTACCCCCACCCCCGTTCCCCCGCCCTCGATATTTGAGTTGTCTTTCTTTTAGGTAACAAATACTTATTTATAGCATAATTTTACATGTTAAAAATAAAAAAGTTATGGCATCTTAAAAACATTATACTAACAACTTAAAAACATGTTTTTTGTTGAATTTTGGAAGCTCAAAATCATGTTATTGTTTATTTTATTTATAATTGATATATGTAAATATATGTATAATTTATTAACGGGGTCCCCATGAGGGTTTTGGGACAGGATTGTCCACTCCCACCCCGCCCCCAAAATTAAAACGGGGGTTAACCTTGCCCCCGCCCCTGTCCCCACCCTCGATTTTTTTAATAAATACCCCCAAACTGGACGGGGGCCCCACGGGACTTTTTAACATCCCTAATGAAATGGGATACCATATTCATCAATTACTCTGATGGCCTGAGTACCTTTATGACTTCACCAGCCAAGGAATCCCCTAGCGGTGCAGTCAAGTCCTTTCTAAACGATTTATCTTCCTGGTAATCATGGACTAGGGTATGTGAGGATCGATTGGGGTGGGTATGTATGGGTATAAGGCTTTATAGATATCCAAATCGGAATTATATCTATATGTTATTTGGTAATAATTGGTTTTGTAGGGCTAAGATGTGTGTGTGTGTGTGTATATAATATAACATTGTGGAGATGAAATCCCTATGTATCTCACCAGGTTTCTCAACCTGACCCACTCAGTTTGTATGTATCACAAGTATCAAGACTTAAGCCACTGGAACTTGATGAGGACGTTGAGTGATTAAATTCAATGATGTCCAGGACCATTAGGTCTTTACGTTGTAACTTATGTATATGTATTGATTATGGCATCCTTAGTGTTTTATTTTAGACAATCTTATACTCAAAAGATTTTTATATACTGTGATTTTCCGCAAATAAAGTATAATGATTTTTAAAGCGTAAAGAAAATTTCTTTTTGATTCTGAAAATCAAAGGGTGTCACACTTTTCTTGAACCCTCCATTAGAACAAAAGCTTTGTTTTGTTCTTAAAGCCTTAAGAGTTTTGTTACTACAAGAAGAAGACTAGCATCCTATCAAGTTGAAGAATTGTTGGTGTTTCTATCTAAGGTGGAGTTTTACTCTAGATTCTTTAACTTCCAACCTCCCAAGAGGAACCAAATCCTTCAAAGGTTGTATTCTTTTCTTCCATTGTTGATTTAATCTTTCCTTGATTGCAAAATGATCATTGGTGGGTAAAATGGTTTTAGCTTAATCAAATCTAAAAAAAATGTTTTCGTTGCTAATTGCATTGAATTTGTCACTATAATTAAACTATTTTTGAATAATAACCCAACAACACATAGCCGTATTTTAACAGTACTCAACCAACCTAACACACTGTACATACAATGCCATACATAATATGGTGAGAAAACTCACCCGAATCACAAAAGCTGAATCGCCACACACTCGCACACTCGAAACGAATTAGCAATATGAACAACGTAATTTACAGTTAGGGGTCAAACCTCATTTTATAGCTTAATTCCTTAAAGTTTGACCAAAAGTCAAATGATCATAAAGTCAACGGCCAACACGTCACAACCGGATCTTGGTCGCGTTGCGATTCTCCAAGACAGTCGCAACTGGCCATTACAACTCGCATCGTGGTATCCTACATGTCGCGTCATGATTTTCGATCATTCAACCAACTTTCCGTTAAGCTCTTAATCCTTTAAGTACAGAGCCTAAAATCTCATATCTAATTCTACTAAGGGACTTCATGGATCCAATTTCCAACTCTATCCATTTCCCAACCGAAATAAGCTCAAAACTCAAACCCTAACTCTCTAATGTCCAAAACTGTCTTGAATCATTTGCATGGAAACAAAGGAATTCAAATAAGCACTTATCAGAGCCTCATAAAGTCCATAAATCATCCAATAACAAGCATTTGGTCTTGGAGTTCCCTAAACTCCAACAACTTCAAAGAAAAGGACCAAAGGGGACCAAAATCTCTTCTCAGACATAGATCTATACATGGAAACAAGAAAATCAAGAAAATTTATGACTTACAGAGCAATTAAAGAGTTTAGAAGGTGGAAACTTCAACTACGAACCACTCCTCCAAGATCCATACGTTTCTTTCTTCTTCAAAACTCTCAAAAACACACAAAATCTCTCAATGACACAAGGTGGAGGCTAGAGTTTCGTTTAAGAGAGTTAGAGGGTGAGTATGAGAAACTCTAACATGTTAGTGTTCTTAAATAGTGACCGAACCCCAGAAAATTAGGTTGAGGTGCATTGCAGCGCCATGCCGCGACTTATTTTAAAGTCGTGTCGCGACTTATGACGTGGTTCGCGCTTCGAAGCCTAAGCCTCCGCGTCATGACGTCAAAACAACTTAATTTCCACATTATATCAAGTTATTAAAAAAATCAAATCATACCTGGGCATTACACAACTTCACAAAAACAAAATTGACATGAAAGATACTAGACGAGATGAGAGGGGATATATGTTTAAATGATGACAAAACCATGACTTAATGGTTAAACTTGGACAATTTTGATACTTCATCGTTTTAAAAGTAACAAGAAGATATGCGTATAGGGCATTTCTTATTCCTTTTTCAAATTTAAGCGCATAGGGGTATTTCTTATTCCTTTTTTCAAAATTAATCTTAAAAAGTTACCAAGAACCCCAAAACCCCAAAACCCTGATGTAGAACACCACCGTTCAGGAGGAAACCCTGATGAAGAACACCACCACCACCACCAGAACAACCACCAGATTCACCTTGAATTTTCGTTTGTTAGCTCGAGTAGAGGGGCGCAGATGGTTATCTAAAATAAAGAGGAACGTTGCTATAAGTACACACCACTCTTCTTCTAGAAAACAACCATCCCCTCAAACCTCCATTTCGCAATCGCAAATGAACAGAGACACAACTTTTGATTTACCAACGAAAGAAGACAAAAAGACGATGATTACCACCAGTAAGGATAACTTGCCTCAACAACAACCGAAATATATTGTTATTACTGATGAAGATCACTGTGAACAACAAGGGGGTAAGAAAGTTAAAAACATAAAGGAGAACGTTTCTGAGGAACGAAATCAAGAAGAAATCGGCTTGAAGCATGTCATACAAGGGGTCAATGAAGAAAAGAGGAAAAACCCTACACAAGAATCCATTGAAACGCAATTGAGGAAAGCCCAGAGGAGGGAAGTACTACTGGCCCGATTGCGTGCCCGGATTCAGAAGTCGGAGGCCCGATTTATGCATGTCGAGGAACAAAATCATACCTGCTGTGAAGAAGCCCGTGGATGATGAACAAAAGTAATTGTAGCTTGCTTGGTGCTAGCTGTTGATGAATTGGATTGGATATAGGTAACTGTGTCTACGTACTTACATACATATTTGCATTCGATATGTTACCCTATTTTAGTCCTTGCAAATTCGAATGCAAATGGCATATACAGTTGGATTGAATGGAATAAATTACCTTTTATAAAAGTATGCTGCTGTTTGATTTAGGGGTTTTTGAGTGTTGATTTAGGGTCATAATTGATTTAGGGTCATAATTGTGTTGACCACATGTTGAGTTTACACTTTACACTTATTATGTTTGTTGCACAATGCACAATATACTTGACTACTTGTTTACTTGTATGATGATTTATTGAGTACTATTGTACTAAGCATAACTTATTTGGCTTTTTAATTTAAGCCAAACACATTTTCTTTTGGTGTATATTCCAGGTAAGACTCTCACCTTGAAGATGATAGTATGATGACATAAGAGGAGTAGAAGATTATCTCTTTTGATGTTAACCTTTGGAATGTTTGATGTTATATTCAAGGGTGATGGTTTAGTATCATGAACAAAATCTTATTTTCGTAAATGTTAGTGGTTCTCTTTTGGGATATCGTTAGTAAATGGTAACACCTCTGATGTTTGAGATATCCTAAACTTATGTTAGTTTTTTGTGTATTTGAATATTTAATCTTAGTATTGGAAATCTTAGCATCTTTTGTAATGGCATGTGATGAAGGGACCTTTCACTCAACCACTAAGCACTACAGTGGTTGGGTGGAAGGTCCCTCCATGAACCGAAAGTGTTCAAAGATGAAATATTTCTCTTTAACATGTTTGGTGAAAGGTTCATCTTTCTTTAAAGTAAAATAGAAATATGTTTCCTTATGTAAAATCCTAATAACAACAAAAGTACACCTAGAAAAATTTTCAATCACATATAATACCAAAAGCCTCGTGCACTATACATACAAATTGTCTATATAACTCAATCCTATTGCTATTGGCTAAATTACATTGGGCTATATATATGCAACAATTTCATACTTTATATAGCATTTCATATAAGGATCAATTAACTTTACAACAAAAGATATTTAAAAAATATTATATACTATCCTACAAGTTTTGAACCTTTGATCTTCACATACACAACACGAAGAAGACAAGTGATCAATTTCAAAAATCAACTCTTTTAATTAAAATTTTTTACTTAAACCTTTTATCTTTTCCAAATTGCTACTACACTCCATTCACATACAATTATAATATTTAAGTCCTCACCATATGTTTATTTAAAACATTTCCATTTGATAACTTGGCATAATGCAACCCTCACAACTTTTAACTTTATGGATCAAATACAACCTTTCCCCCCCTAAAAATTAACCCTTCTATTTATAATTTTCACTCAATAAACCTTCATCTTTGCAAAAGTTGCCACTACAGACCTTTTTCCCATACACCTATACCATAACTTCTCAATCTTACATCACATAAAAGACTTCACAACTTTGACTAATGCCTATGATGCTATTCACCACTTACTTAGATGTCAAGAACGCATGCATTTCCAAATGTGTTGATAAAAAGATAAGACTTGCGACTAAAGAATCATGAGGTATAAGAATTACGATCAGAAATCCTCAAAAAGAAAGAAAGAAAAAACACAAACTCAACTTGAAACATCACTGCCCTTTTCAGTACAGCACTTCAGTTCTATGCCTCCTTAACTCTCCATAGATGACAATACACACATGCATATATATTATTTTAAATTTTAAATTGTAAATGAATATCTACTTTTTTTCTTTTTTCTTTTTCCAACATAGCCAATGTTTTTACTTGTACCACAAGACACGTTTTGTCCACATTCACAAATCAAGACTCAAAAGATGACCCGATCAATCTTTAGTTTACCCTCCTGGGGTCACGAGCAGCAGCAAGATGATCCTGCAATACCAAAAAATGGGTTTTAGGTAATTTAGATTTTTTTTTTTTAGAAAAAAGATTTTTGATTCATTCCATTCATTACAACGGAACGAACCATTCCATTCCTTTCCTGATTCCACCATACCAAAAACTACCACAGTAAATAAATTTGGTCTGTGCGTGATTTTAGGTCTAAATACCAACAAATCAGTAAAATTACAAAAAGTTAGTGAGAGAGAAAGAGAGAGAGGAGAGAGAACTTACAGATATGAAATCAAAAGCTCTAGTATCCTCTTTCTTGGAGTTGTTCATCATGGAAGTAGGTGGTTGTTGTTGAGTTGCAATATTTGGATTAAAAATATCTGGAAGAGCTGCAGAATCATACCCCCCACCCCCCACCCCCACCTGACTTCCAGAAGCAGCATTTCCTGCACCAAAATTCTGAGCCTGCATCTGTTGCAGGTAAAACTGCTGTTGAGCTAAAATGCTACTCATATTCATAGCAGCATAATTTACAGGTTGAGATCCAAATGCTGCAGGATTAAACATAAATCCTGAGTTATATGTCATAGGATCCATAGCCAACATGGGATTTCCAGGTATTCCATTCCCAGGTGCTTGTTGGGATTTAAGCAAGTTACTCAAAACATCATCTGGCTGATGTGTTAAATTACTGTTTACCCCTTGAGAATTCCCATCTATAGACAATCCAGCCATCAAGTCATTTACATCATTTTTATAATTCCCTTGAGGGGTATCAGAGTTGGAACCGAATATATCAAATAACTCGGGTCCATTTCCATTTCCATTCCCATTTCCGATTCCAGGAGCTGTAGTTTGTGTTGAAACTTGTGGTTTATCAACAGTGGACATTCCTGAAAAAATATCGGTTTCTTCATGTTGTTCATCTTTATTGTGAAATGCCACGTCAGCAAAAGGGTCATCACTAGTTTTGAATTCTTCATTGTGTAAATCAGTGGTTGAAGAAGAATCCATAAAGAAATCATTCATCAGATTTTCGGTTGTTGATGGAATGGGTTCATCTGTTTGCGTTGTGATAAGATTTTCAGTTCCAAATGGATCATTTGTGTCTATTAAATCGGGCATTTGGACAACGGTTTTTTCAGTCTTTATATTTTTGTCTTGATGGCTCATTCTGCTACCACTTTGTTCTCCTTTAAGAAGGCTTAAAACCTGAATTTCCAAATAGTGAAGAATTAAATATAAGAAAAACAATCAATTAAGATACTTATAAGCAAGAAAAGTATATTTTTATTGGGCATAGAAGCTGAAATTTCCCTTTGAGAATCTATTTTTCTCAAAGAAGGGTCAAATAGACAATTCCATCTACACAATGTGTAGTTGATAAGGATGGGTTTGCATGCTCTAAACAGGGCTTTCAACAAGGGAGGTGGATGTTTTGATGAACATAGGTTTATTGTCACAGAAAAGAGCACATTCCTTTTTCTTGTTCTCAGATTTGTATGCAGTATAAAGTAAATAACAATTCATCAGATAGTTTTAGCAACTTATTTTAACTTAGCCCACAATTTCAAATAAGAAAGTTGCATGAGTTTGATACATGAAAAAGTTTGTAAACTTAACGACTCATTGCATACCTTATTTGCCTTTTCCCTTAAAGAGGCTTGAGGAGACTCAGAGCATTTTACCACAGCATCTATATTTTCAGTAAAGTATGAGGTGACAATGGAAAAAGGTTCATCATCTTTCTTCCTCAATATTGCCTCAAGCACACATATGGCTTTCACACGGACCTAAAAGAACAATGAAGCAAGATAAGAAAGGATTTCAAATTTCAATGTGACAAACTTAGAAAACTAATTCTGTATAGGATAAAAACACACCAATCAAATACCTGCCACATATGAGATTGGAGTTTGGCTTCTAGAGCATGACTTAAAGCTACTGCATTCAATTTTGAGGCCTCCATTAAGAACACCTGAATGGCATCACGAGTAGGTTGAAGGCGAACACCACCAGATGTTACAATGGTCTCTAATAACCTCTCTTCACGACTCTTTTCATTCGAATAACTTGAAGTTGCATTCCCATTTTCAGTATCTATTTGACTTGTTTTAAGATCTTGTCCCCAAGATCCAGATACATTTGTTGATAACCTAGAAGAAGTTGCAGCTTGACTAGAAAGTTCTTTGCTATCAGAGTAAGTCGATTCATTAGTCAATGATCTTCTCAGATTAGGGCCCCTGTAAGTTCCTGTGTCATTTTTGTTATGAGTTTGAGCTTGTGATAAGCTGTTTAATCCCTGTTTGATTGTTGCACTTCCAATGCCAACCATATCACTAAGAAACGACTTCTTATCATCAGATGGAATGTCAAAGTTTGTGTTTCCAAAACCTTGTATACGTTGTGTAAGACCTTCTTGTGGTGGTGGTTTACTGTTGTCTTCTCCAGCAAATATAGCTGATAAAGCTTCTTGAGCAGTTTCTCTTACAGACTTATTAAGGGCATCACCCTTCAATGGATCCGGTTGTCCCTTGTAGTGAATTAGCTGACGAACAGCTACAGAGTTCCTTTGCATTTCCCTCCTAAATTCTACACCTGACTTCCCCACAGCATACTTGATCACTCTTAAAGCCTACAAACACAAATCATGAAATCATTAGTTGTTAGAGATTACCCTAATTAGAAGATAACCATTGATGACAAGTTGTCTTGACCAATTCGGGAATCAGCACTACCCGCTTCTAATTAGATCTGGTGTTTTGAATTTCATGAGAACGATAAAGGAATCAATTGATTATATACATCCACGCCAAGGTCCTTTCCCAAAAAGAAGAATGATAGGAAAGAAGGTAGCAGTACCTTTTGCTTAACAATGGGGGATTTGTGTTGCAGACGTTTAAAGATAAATTCGGAAACTTCTTTGACGATTGAGACGTGAGAAGAGCGAAGGAGTTCGCATATTTCTTCCAACTTGTAAACAGGCGCCACTTTATCTTCATCAGAAGTCGCCCCATCAATCATCCGTGACCTCCAGTACGATTCCACCGCTCTCCTGCTCGATTCCATCTTTTCCGATTCTGATCTACTCTTACCTTAT